ACATACTAAAAGATAAAAATTTCATAACTGACTTGGCATTTTTGGCAGACATATCATGCATTCTGAATGAATTAAACAAAAAACTGCAAGGAAAAGGCTCCACTTTAAATAATTTGTGGAAGTTAGTTGTTGACTTTAAAAATAAGTTAAATTTTTTAAAGGAAGATTTAAAGTCAGATATCTTCACAAGTTTTCCGAGAACTGCACAAATTCAAAGCCAAGACTATTGCTTAAAAAAACAAGAACATATATCAATCATAGAAGAACTTGCTAATAACATGCAACAAAGATTCAACGATTTCAAACTAATTCAACCAATGCTGGACATGTACGAAAATCCATTTACATGTGATGTATCTCAATATCCGCTACAATATCAAACGGAATTGATAATACTACGTAGCGAAATGGAAGCCCCACAAGAAATCGAACTTGATGAGTTTTGGAAAAGCATCGACAAAAATGATTATCCTTATCTAAAAGATATATCATATAAATGTGCATCATATTTTGCCTCAACTTATATTTGCGAACAAATATTTTCTGACCTAAAGTATATTTGCTCTAAATATAGAAACAAATTAGTCTCCACACAGCTGAGGAGCATTTTATTAATAAGAAATGCTGGCATTTCCTTTTAAAGCAACAGTCTTAATTTGTGAAAATTATACATTGTATGATTAGATATGATCTTCCAAAACTTACAAGCTTTATATATTTCCTGTATGGAATGTAAATAATTGCAATATTTTAAAATTTCTTCATAAAATTAACTGTTATTCAAACACTCAGCACACAGTTTACGTTTTTTTATTCCAAGTACTAGAAATTTTGAATTCAAGACGACATTGCTAAATAATACATACATTTTTTGCCTTATGTATAAATATATATTCAATGACAAGTGGTTTTCTCTACAAATATTTTACTTAATTGATGAATTTTATCTTTTATTTCGTATTCCTATATTTTTAACTAAAAAATACTGCATGTTTTTTTTTATCAAATTTTAGTTATTTCATACCATTTTGTTTAAAACGCACTTTATATTTTAATATTATTAGCTTTTATTTTGGTCTTTGAAACTTATTTGAGCTTCCACTGAATTATTTAATTTTTCATTTGAAATATAATTAAATTTAACAAAATATTTCCTCACATCTTTTTTGCAGATGAATAAAAGATTATTCTTGCAAAATTAAAAGATCGTGAAATGTATCGAATTCAATTTTTTTTCTCTTGCAAAAACATACAAAAACTGCAACCCATAAACTCGAATCAGTATTGACTGCTATCTATAAAATTTCTTTTGAATTAACACACTTTGTTTTTTTGCGTATTTTTTTTTTTCATTTTACCGTCAGACCATGTATATCTTGCCTGCCATTTCTTACAGTGCATATTCTGTTACTCTCACGCACACAACGACAATTCTTGTTTTGAGCTCCCCTGGGTACAGTCACCACAAAATTCTCCGAACAAGTCGTGTAAGGTTATTCACGTCAACTGACTCACAGTTGTTTTTGTATTTTTTTTTAAGTTCGCTATGCTTCAGCATGCGATAATGCTCATATGAGATGCATTATACATGCATGTTCTCACATACATACAGTGAGTTCTATTTTTTCTCATTCTTCATGTATTACTCTTTTTATACCCTACACCATACATAGTATGGAGGGTATATTAAATTCGTCATTCCGATTGTTATTCATCGAAATAATAATTTTAGACCTAACAAAGTATACATTTTTTCCATCATCAAATTCTAGGACGAATCGCGTTAGAGTCAAAATGAACTATGACGGAAAGTTAAAATTTTGCACCGATCTGTTTTTTGTCTGCAAGTAAGTCAAGTTCGAAAATGGGCTATATCGGTCCATGATATCGTATAGCCCCCATATACGGTACCCATGACTATGACCATTTGATGATTTTAGCCACTTTTTGTAATGGAAATGTCCTAAAATCCAAAAAAGGAGTTACTTGTGAGTACTTTACTCCCTGGAAGAGAATTGCCTATATGGGTCCACGATATCGTATATCTCTTATATAACGGTTCCTTCCGATATTCAGTATATTGATGATTTTAGTCACATTTTCCTAATGGAATTGTCTGAAAATCCACACAAGGAGTTCCTTCTGAGTATTTTACCCTTTGGAAGAGAATATTGGTCCACCATATCGTGTAGCCCCCATTACAACTATGCCTTTCGATATTTGCTATTTGGATGGTTTAACGATATTTTTTACCAGAATTGTTTCAAATTTCGTATTTAAAGTTCGTAATGGGTAGTACAACCTATGACGAAAAATTGTCTATGTAGGTCCAAAATCTTCATATGGCCTTATTTTGTATTTTGATGATATTAGCGGCATTATTCATAGAAATTGTTTCCAGTTTGATCATATTAGAGACATTTTTACAGCATTTTTATACCCTCCACCAACAAAGGTATGGAGGGTATATTAAGTTCGTCATTCCGTTTGTAACTCATCGAAATAATCATTTTAGACCCAACAAAGTATATATATTCTTGATCAGCGTAAAATTCTAAGACGATTTAGCCCTGTCCATCCATCCGTCTGTCCGTCTGTTGTAATCACGCTACAGTCTAAACGAATTAAGATAGGAAGCTGAAACTTTGCACAGATCTCTCTTTTGTCTGCAGGCAGGTCAAGTTCGAAGATGGGCTATATCGGTCCACGATATCGTATAGCCCCCATATAACGGTACCCCCGATATTCTGTATTTTGATGATGTTAGCCACATTTTTCAATGGAATTGTCTGAAAATCCACACAAGTAGTTCCTTGTGGGTACTTTATACCTCGGTAGAGAATTATCTATATAGGTTCACAATATCGTATAGCCTCCATATAACGGTACCCCCCGGTATTCGGCATTTTGATGATTTTAGCCATATTTTTCAATGGAATTATATGAAAATCCATACAAGGAGTTCCTTGTGAGTACTTTACACGCAGACATAGATTTGTCTTTATAGGTCCACAATATCGTATATCCCCCCATATATCGGCACCTTCCTATATTAGATATTTTAAAGATTTTAAAAGAATTTTTATTGGATTTAATTTTTTTGAAAATTTTCTAATTCGTTCCAACAAAGACCTAAAATGGTAAAGACTAGACAAAATGCATTCTGAGCAAATGGTTTGTGGCTATGCTACCTTGAATAACAGCTCCTGACGGAGGCATGTTAATATAAAAAACACAATTATAGGAAATAATGTCAGATAAAAGTTTGGACAATCCAAAATATTGGTTTCAAAATTCTATTCCATATACCTTCCCAAATAATTGCATACTGCCTTAGCGGTTTAAATTGCTTAACATTGGTAACTATGTTGTTACGATATCATAACAACAGAGGTATTTTTCATAGGGTTGCCATATTTTACTCTGTCTTGTCCTATCTTTATACTTTTATGTCTTTGGTTCCAAATGGTGGAGGGTATTCAAAGTTCGGCCCGGCCGAACTTACTGCTTTTTTACTTGTTTTTTTTTAAAAATTACTACAGCCTATGACGAAAAATTGCGCATGCAGCTCCTCGTCTTCATATAGATCTCTCTCTCTCTCTCTCTCATATAACGGTTGCATTTAATCGGTATTTTTCGACGAAATTTTCTTAACATTTTGTAAGTTCTATCCAAATGGTGGAGGGTATGCTGCTCTTTTACTTGTTAAGGTTTCCGCTGTAAGAAATGGAATGCTGAAGCAATGCTATGAAATATTTAGAGTGGTGTACAGTGTCATACAGTCTGTTAGTCCCCTCCTTGTGTGCTTTGTATCAATGAGCTCACTCTTGCGTGTGTGTTGATTATGGAAATACGTGTATAATAAATTTCATTGTTAAAGTTTTGCGGCTATCAATTTCGGGTCACAACCATGCTCAAAAGAGTCAACTGTAAAGAGATTAAATTTCCAAAACTGGGTCTGTTAGGCAACAACGCGCCTTCGACCAGTTCGATCGACCAAAAATATTGCAGCTGTAGGTGATGATGTCGCTCGACACTCCATCAACTGAGAGCTGATTATCGAGCTAATATTTTTCATGAATAAAAAATAAATCTGCACATGTTTCCAATTCTGATGTCGAACTCGGAACAAAAATGTGCGAGATTGCCAAATATTCTAAAAGTTTTGTTTTTTTTTCGGAAAAGAGAAGAATCGTAAAGGACATTAAGAGTTTCGTGACGAATTCGATTATAAATCGCAAAAGAAACAAGTCAAAACGCAAGTAAGTTCGGCCGGCCGAACTTATTACTGATTACTCCCCACCATTTAAAGGAACTTAAAAAAATCGTAAAAATTCTTCTCAAATGAAACACTTTATATGTGGGCTATACGAAGACATTTTCCTTCAAAAGTAATTTTTTGTCATAGACCTTAGAACCTATTACGAAATTTAAAACAATTCCGGTTAATAATACCGCTAGAATTATCAAAATACCGACTATAGGGAGTTACCGTTATATGGGGTCTATACGAAGCGTCTATACGAGAAGCGCATATAAATGTGCCTACGAAGACGAGCCATACTACAAAACAGATACGAAACACTATTCAACAAGTTCCACATCACCACTGGCAAAGGAGAAAAAAATAAATTGTTTTTCCACCAATACAAAGCTGTAAAGCTGTGTATACAATTTGCAAATATGTTTTTTTTTTTTTCTACACATTTAATATTGATGCATACCAATGAATACATGTAGTCTTTGTAAGCAACATAAAACTGATTTATCTTTTTATTATTATACTGACGATGGTATTATTATACGGACGGTGGTAAAAATATTAAATTTGCCATCTCATTTAATTTCGAAACTCTTAATTTCCCATCAGTGAAAGACCACTTGCACTTGCATTCAATCACCATCGTTGAATGCAATCGGAATCATTTGTACTATGATCCAATGCACAGATACGAATACTTTGTCTGATATAGAGAATGTTATAAAATTTGTAACCTTACCTTACAACACTGCATTTGTTTTAAAAACTCCTAAAATTGGTTCCGTTGGAACTGGTAAACGTACGTATTAGTCAACAACACTTTACAAACTGAACTTGCCTGAGCGGATTGCAAAATAATGTTTGTGTGCATGGTAGACTAATACAGCTAGATGCATCAACACTTGGGAACATTGAAATGCCAAATTTTTTCAATGTTTCTCCAAAAATAAATAGACTTTTATATGTTTTCTTATACGACGTCATTCGGAGATTATTATAATATGCGTTTTTCGACAATTTTTATAAATTTAAATAATTTTTCATTCAACATTTTTAATTCCAAAATCGGTTTGACAATTCGTTGTCCCAGCAGCTGTGTCGATGCGCCGACCTACATTCTTCTACCATGAGTGTATGAGTTGTTATTAACCCTGTACTGTCGCAAGGGGTGCATGTGTACTTAAAAGTATCGTGAAGTAGACAGAATTTGTTTATGTGTGCATAAAGCCGCCGCGGCTTTGCTGCAAAAATTCTATTATGGCACAATTCGATGTTAAATGGTGATCTCTCCTGACTAGAATTCGTATCACATACATATCAAAACGTGGAACTACTACTACTTGCATATGCACTGGTTGAGAGAAATATTTAGATATAGCAAGTAGTAAAGATTCGCCGAAATATTGAAAATTGTGACCCTATGTGGGTGAGATACCAAAAGTCATAGTCCGATCTCTAACATATTTAGAGCAGATCTTGTGTTGATTGAAATATTGAGATGCGATAAGTCTGAATGAAATCGGATGTTATTTTCGCGTTTTATGAATATATATAAATATAAATATATATATATATATATATATATATATATATATATATATATATATATATATATATATATATATATATATATATATATATATATATATTTATATTTATATATATTCATAAAACGCGAAAATAACATCCGATTTCATTCAGACTTATCGCATCTCAATATATCAATCATTATTTTTACATATATATATATATATATATATATATATATATATATATATATATATATATATATATATTTTTTTTGGTTTTTTTTTTTTTAAATTTTTTGGGTGGTGAGGGATGGGGGGGGTGTGAAACTACTAGAAGGAGTTTACCGATATTGTCCAGTTCCGGACACGATCTAAGTTTGATAATAATATTTCGGTGAACTAAGTTTGGGCCAAATCAGATACTCCCTTCGAGAGTTACTGTGCGTACCAGCCAGCCAGACAGACGGGCGGACATTGCTAGGTCAACTTCAGATGTCCTGAAACGGATTTGGTTTAGGATCTAAAACCATTAGTTCTATGAGGCAAGTTTTGGAGTATATATAAAATGATTTATACCCCCTCTAGCCATATGGCTGAGGGTATAAATAAATTGTGGCACTTATGCGGATATTTAGCCCTGCAAGCCTACTTTGTGTAAAAAAATCGGAATCTATATATATATATATATATATATATATATATAGGGTATAAATAAATTGTGGCACTTATGCGGATATTTAGCCCTACAAGCCTACTTTGTGTAAAAAAATCGGAATCTATATATATATATATATATATATATATATATATATGTATATATATATATATAGATTCTGATTTGTTTACACAAGGTAGGCTTGTAGGGCTAAATATCTATGCGTTTCCACAATTCCAAGTTAAGTAAGACTTAGTACTTCCCTTAGTAATTTTAATACTTATTTGCAATACCTTTCCATTTCTCAATCCTTAATTTAGGTCAATTTAAAACTTTTCGAACAACAGTAGAACACTTTTCCAAACCCACCATCAAATATCAAACTTCCAATCGCAACTTGATAGTAATACCAATTTTTTAGCTCTATTCTTTTACATAGTATACCAAATGGTAACGTTTAACAATTTTTGTACCGTTTTAAAATTTTTCATAACGATCAATTTTGATTTTCGGAAAACCTTTGATACATTTATCCCGCATTCCATCATGCCTTTACAGGTAATGCAATGGGAATTTATTTTTCATAATCTTTAAATACGGGATCGTCATGGCAAATAAGAAAAAATCTATAGAAGTAAGTCATTATTTTTGAGCCAGCTGCTAATGCAACGGGTATGTGTTTGTCATTACTAGTAATGCTAAGAATGGCTTATACTCTCCTCAAATTGTTACTGAGATTTAAATGTACTTGACTTGTGAATATCAAAAATTAGATTTATGTGCTCTCAATGATTGTAAAAATATTCTTTTATAGTTTTTCCGTATATATGGTCATAAAATCCGCCGAATACCAAAGATAAAAGCTCATTCCGTCATATATTTCATTCGTCATATGCAAAAATGTTAGAAATTAAAACAAATTTTATTTGAAAAATTACTTGAAACAAATAAGTTCACAATTATTTTTATACCCAAATATTAAACATTATCGTTAATACAAACATTTATTTTTGCCCACACATAGGGTTAAATCGAATCGATAACACGAATGTCACACCCAGCTATTTAAACATATCGCTGTGCTAATGTGCACACAAAGAGAACTGAACAAGAAACTATATACAATTATTTCTATATAAGTTAGGAGAATATTTTTGCCCTTTTAGCTGTTTTAGTGGTACAAATGTCCCCAATGGTGTTGACAACAAAAACGCAAATAATAACCATTTCGTTGTCATGCCACGATTTCATGCATATCGTCTTGACGTGTTGGATAGATTATCGATAAAAAAAATGTATGGCTCCTTTAAGTTGAGCGTACTTACATATTTCCGTTAAATTTCAAATTAAATTTATGCTATGTTCTCATTACACTTTCAATAACGTTGTTTGCTCTCAGAATGCCATTCATACGGCACGATTCGAAATTCGAAGTAAAATAATTCCCTTTTTGAAAAATGTTGTTTGTTGATTTTAATACGAATTTATACGAAGATACATGAAATTTTCACTAATATGAATAGAAGAAACTATTGTTTTTCTCCCAAAGATTTATAATATTATTAATTTTACAAATTTCATTCACGTTTTCAACATTTTGTGTAAATATTGATATTTCGAACATATTTTTGTATTTTTCTATTTCTAAATTCTGCTGGAGAGACACTTGTCAAACATTTTGTTCTTCAGATACAAACATTTTGAAAATATTGCCTCTTTTGTTTTCAGTTTTCTGTGGAAATTTCAACTCGTCGACAAAATGCATACCTCGAATGAGAGAGAAAACAAAATGTACTTTCGTTTGAATGTACATACGCCATTCAACATTGTAGTTTTCATTCATAATTTTCAGTCTTCCCAATAATTTTTAAAATTTCATAAAATTTTTCTATTTTTAATTTTTAAATGTAATATTTTTTTTTTTCGATAAATGCTCTCATTTGTTAGGGATGGGACATATTTTTCATTGTTCTGAGAGTGATTTGATTTGAACAATGAACAAATACGAGTGTTCGCTCAGGAAATTTTTTGTAAAGAATTAGGTAGTTTTTTCATAGTTAAGGGTCAAACAACGAATAGAGGGCGGATCAAGTGCCACATTAGTCTATGACAGCTTTCCACCTGGTCTTTGTTGAAGTCAATTAGGTGTTCTTTATTATACCCTCCACCATTGTATGGGGGGTATATTAAGTTTGTCATTCCGTTTGTAACACCTCGAAATATAAATGTTAGACCCCAAAAAGTATACAGGGTGAAATAAAAAGACTGCAAGAAAGTCAAACGTCATTATATTAAGAGTTGTTTGATTTTTCATCTTTGGCACGAATTATGGCCTTCAAACGGCCAATGAAACCGTCACACGCTTCCCATATGTTGAAATTTTGGCCCATTCCCGGCGAAGCGCTTGCTTGAGGTGATCGACGCTTTGGTATTTTTTAGTGCCAATCTTGCTTTCCAAAATACTCCAGACACACTAGTCCAACGGATTGGTATCCGGAGATTTTGGTGGCCATTATGAGCTGGAAATGAAGCGAGGAACCTAATTTTATAAACATTCTTGGGTGGCGCGTGCTGAGTTCTGTTGAAATGTCCAAGATCTGTGGCCAAAATGTTTGCTTTAATACACCCTCCAGAATATTTTCGCGATAATATTTGGCATTTTTTCTGATGCCACGGTCGATTAATACGAGCGGAGAGCGACCATCGGCTGTTATGGCGGCCCACACCATCACCATGGCCGGCGCTTGAGTTCTGGTGGCCAACCGAAGGTGCACATTTTCAGCTGACCTCTTTGGCAAGTGAGCACGATCATTTTGTTTGTTACAAACTGCTGGACAACGAATGTTTTTTCATCGGAGAAAACCAAATTCGGCCGTTCACCACTTTCGACCAAGCGAAACAACTCTTTACCTCTTTTGAGTCTATTTGCTTTCTGTTGCGATGTAAGTTCTTGCACTTTTTGAAATTTCAATGGATTTACCCCGAGCTCATTTTTCAATATTTGCCGAATAGAATATCCCGATATGTTCAGCTCACGAGCCATTTTTCGGTCACTGCGACGCGGGTTTCGATCAAGTTGCTTCTTTACTTTTCCGTCCACTACCTTGACGTCGGGCTACGCTACCAGTATCACGGTAACGAGCGATGGTACGAGACACAAACGATTTATTGACATTTATATGCTGGAGTGCTCTAACGATAACCACTTGTAGTTCTCCAGCCAAATATAAAGAAATCACACTATCACGCTTGAATTCCGTCACGAATAACTTTTTTCTTGAAAATTCTCACCAAAAGGCTGTACGCTTGTAAACAATATAATGAGCTGTAACTGGAATAATTTTAACAGCTGTCGAACGAGTGGCTTAGTAATGACAGCAGTCTGAAGTTGGTTGTAGTTTTCTCATCTCACCCTGTATGTGCCTTTTAGCATGTTTTTTCTTTCTTCTGTTTCATTTGTACTGTACACCAAGAAGCGTTGCAGTCTTTCAGTAAGTTTACAAATATAGGGGTTAACCCATTGGATTTTTGTATACCAATGGACAGAGTTTGTATACCAATTTACATGTTATCTTACTGTCTGTTTATATGTAGTTACGCAAAGAAACACTTGCAATATGTTTTTATTTAACAAGCAAAAAATAACTTAAGCTCAACCGGGCCGAACCATTAATACCCTCCACTATTTGAAAGATACTTGCAAAATGTAAA